TTAAAGAAGAGCTGCCTGGGATAAATTTTTATTTTATAAAGTGAGTTGAAAGAGAAATGGCAACTTGATCTTTATCCACAACGAAAGAATGAGTGAATTGCACACATATACTGCCTATAAAGTAATTGCTCTACAGATAAGTAACTAGTAAACAAATGCAAATGGTCGCAATCTTGTTCTTACTTCCTAGTGGGGTGATCTTGTTTACTAGATTTGCCACCAGTACTACTGAGTAATGACTAATTATACGAAGGGTGGTTGGGCAAATTGAGTTGTTCCTCGAGGGAAATAGGTTTTAACTTTTAACTCAATTATTTATCATGAATTTGTATATTAGCTATAATTACAAAAATAAAAAAGAGATTGTGCCACACCTGTAAATGACTTACAAAAAAAAAACCCAATTATAAAAAAAAGTTTATCCTATCACCAACCAAGGTGTTATCAATATTATTTCATAGCATATTTACCAGACTCAAATTTAAAATGAAGTGGTATAAGATTTAAATTATGAATCAAATGGATTAACTTCAATTAATCTAATTTTTTCCTTCAATTAATTAGATTGAAAGTCAGGTTTCGGTTAATAAATTATCGAATTAATCTATAAAACATGATGAATCTTATAACTATTTTTGAATAACATCCCCCAACCCCAAAAAGGGAAAAACTAACCGCATTCATATTACACTCAAAGTAGGGCAGGACCATACCGACTCCTGACGACCACTTGCTCTATACAATGGAGTCACTTGTATGCCCTAACAATGAATTAGGAAAATATCAACATTACTCATTAGGGTAGTTATTTTAAACATTAACTAATCTATCAAATGACCAGGTTGCCAACGATTCAGATTGCATAGCTTGCTTATAAAATTGATTTCTTAAACAAACCTTCTCAAGTAAAAGGAGGAAAAGAAAGAAAAAAAAGAAAGGAAAGATGAGGCAATAGAATCTAGAACCATATACAGCAGAATTAGGTGCACGTATGGAACCGCACCATAGTTATTCATGTGAAATGTCGTGATAGAGTAAGTTTTTGAAAAACGAGGTTCAAAAATATTTTTCTAAGCTATCAATTTATAGTTGACTGGCCTTTTAACCTTGAATTAATCATACTTTATGCCCTTTTACGTGGGGACAACACAATCAGGTTTGGTGTAAATGGGGCATGTCATTTCTATAAAAGCTACTTGGCCAAGTGCATGCATAGTCCCACGGTAATCTAACAATTAATAATTAAAAAAGGGATTAAGCAAAGAATTAATTTCTTGGAGTTTCTAAAGAGGGACTCTTCAAGCTCGAGAAGTTGCCAAGAAATCTCTTCTGCTGTGTTTTTCTTTCGTCGTTCTTCTCATATCTGACCTTCGTCCAATTTGCATGCGTCAAATTAATTCAGAAATTTATACTAGCTAGCCTATAATCATTAGTAGAGTATGCAAATCCGCTCTTTCTTGGAAGTTCCTTAGAGAATAAGAGAAATGGTATACAGTCCTAGGTTTTCAGTCAAGGCAATCAAAATGGACCCTGGAAGAAAGCCTAGCAGAGGCCCCAGTACTGTCCCCTTCATGAATGCAACTTATTCAGCAGGTGAATTTGACGTAAAGTTTTCTTCACTTGGAATTCTATTACTGTTGCAAATATGAAGGTCTGAAAAATATTTTCAGTGAGTATTATGAAGTAGATTTAACCGGTAGGAGGAGTTTGGGAAGACGAAGGAGAAAAATATGATCTGATTCTTTTTCACCAGCATAATGATATTTTATTTTTAATTTAAAAAAAAACATAAATATATCCTCATACGCCCCTAAAAGTATCCCTGCAGATTTTATTTTTTTTAAAAAAATATGTTAAAATGAGTTCCAAGAACATGAAATTAAAAAATCAATAAAATACTATACAGGAATAAATCTTGAATAAAATTATTACTATATAGCACGCATATATATTGAACAAATGTGAATCAAAGTTTTATTTAAGCCTCCACCAAAGTTTATATTGTACAAATGTGAATCAAGTCTCATAGCTAACTTGTTGGTTATATATTCAAGAATCCCAGCTGAGTTAATTGGTTATCCAAGAATCCCAGATTTCCTATAACAGAGAAGGGGATACTAATTCAAGGGAAAACTTAATTTTAGCCATAGAAAGCAAATTTAAACAGTCCAAGTAAAAGATGAAAGCCCAGACAAAAAGCTTATAAAAAATTAGATAAGTTTTACATTTTTTTTTTAACTCAGACCCATCTGAAATTGATCAATTTAAACTAATGATTTAGTCCATTTTGAAATATATATATATATATATGTATATATATATATATTTCCAATTTGATTGTGTTTTTTTTATAAATATATAAGAGAACCGAAAAATGTTCACATCTAAAAAGTAAATGTAGGGGAGTAGTTTTTCCTGATGCTCATGATGAGTTCCCTTTCTTTGGGCTCTTGGATAAGCAAATAGAGTTGCGAACGATGGTCTCTTATTCTCATTTTAATTGTAAATTTTACATTACAGTAGTGATTTTATTTATAAAATTATTAAAATAATATTTTTTTATATTTTAAATTTAATTTTTAATATCAACATATAAAGGTAAAGCCACCTGAAAATAAAAGGAGGCAAATTGCCCCCTTAATGTTTTTTCAAAATATTCTTTATATTAAAATATTAATATAACAATATATATCTTACAAAAAAAAAAACCATAACTTAATGCTTATGTATCTCAACAGTTTCTATCTTGTTTTTTTTTTCTTGTCATTTTCTTGCATATTCTTTTGTCTTGATTTACTTGTATTGACCCTCTCTCTCTCTGTACACACACATTTCTTGTTTTAATTTCAGGATAGATTTGATTCTTGAATTTTTAATATCAGTTTTTTTTTTAATTTTCTAAATAATAAATTATTTGGGGTTATTTCACTTTTCTTCTTCTCTTTCGTGAAAGTTTGAGAATTTTGAATTTCAGTTTTAATGGGTAACTAACAAAAATTAAATTTTTTGGACTTATATTTTCTTAGCTAAGAGGTTTGGTAGTGAGACAACTAAAAATTATATGAAGAACTTGTTATTTTTTAAATGTAGACACAGAGTGCTTCAATATGTTGTGTTAGTAATTCTAAGATTATTGAATCACTTGTTATTTTATTATTAATTAATTAAGGATTGAAAAAGTAATTGTCAAGTTTATAAATAAAATTTAATAACTTATATCTAGAAAAAAACTGACTAATATTTAATTTTTATATATTATTGCTATCAATTATTTAAAAAATAAATTAATAACTTATATCTAGAAAAAAAAACTGACTAATATTTAATTTTTATATATTATTGCTATCAATTATTTAAAAAATAAATTAATAACTTATATTAATTTTTTAACAAATAATATTTTGACTGCAATGAAAAAAAAAAAGAAGCTTTGAATCATCATACCCTTGTATCCTATGGGCAGATTCCCCGTTTCCCAGACTATATGGTTGAATGTATATATATTTGTTTTTCCCGAGAGGAGGGGAAATGCAGTCATTTGGATTTAAACTAAAAAAAATAATCTGAGGGAAAAACATGCTTCAATACAATTGGTATTAAGCCCAACTTTCAAGCCCAGTCTAATCTCCAGCTAAAACCCTGGCAGTACTCTACCAGGCCCAGAGAATAGAATAATCTAAAAGCATACTTGATTCCAGCCACGTGTGATGGTACCATACGTTGAATTCATTAAAATTCTTTGGGCCACGTGTGCGGCCATCACACGTTGAATTCATCAAACTTCTTGGCTTTTCACCCAAAAACTTGCTTACATCCAGCCATCAATCTCGGAAATAGCCTCAAATTTTTGACAGTTTGTCTCTGCGTTAGAAAGTATTTTTTAAAAATTTTAATTTTTTAAAATTTTATTTGATGTACTGATATTAAAAATAATTTAAAAAATATTATAAAAAATAAAAAATATTATAAAAAATAACCACTATATTTCTAAACATTTTATTTTATTCATGAAAATTAAAGAGCTAGCTAATTAATTTAACATAGGTTTCTTCATAACGAGAGGAAGGGAATAGCATTGGATGATGTTAGTTTTGTTTAATCTGCTTTAAACATTTGTTAAGAAAGCTTAGATAGTTACTTATGTTCAATGATATGTTTGATATTGTGGTGAAATATGATTTTTAAAAATATATTAAAATAATTTATTTTTTAATTTTCTCTATATTAGCTTATCAAAATTATTAAAAAATTATTGATTTAATATTTTTTAAATAAAACATATTTAAAAACAGAAAATATCATCGCACCACCAAACACTCACCAAGTATTCATGAATAAAATTGAAATCAATTTCAAACACTCATTATCACCATTATTCTTCGTTAATTTATTTTCAAATTCTAAATTGTAATTTGCGCAATAAGGGAATTTTGTAAATGGTAATGTACTTTGTGGTATTCTATGCTCGGTGAAATCGCTGCATTAAGAAAAGAACAAAACTTAATTATGTTGACATAAAGTGGGAACAAATACTTTAGAATAAAACTAATGAAAACAAGCCATCAAGCTTGGGAAGGGACAAGCAAAGGGACACCACCAAGTCAAGAAATGGTATGGGAATGGACAATTTTCTGCAGCAACTTCTCTAAGGAGACCAAAATCAATTGGTCTCCTGATGGAGGTTGTATGCATGTAAGTGCTAATGACCAGCGCGGACTGAGTGGACCAGATAAACAAGTCCTTTCCGAACCACAGAAACTCAGAATCCACCATCATGAACCTGCGTTTTATTTTCTGCCCATGTCCATTGAATAGTAATAAAATATGCAGCTAGTGGTGCCAAAAGCACTTCCGAGGAATATAAAAAGGACAAGCCCAATCCACATCTGCATAGACCAGGAAGTTTCCTAGAAACTACAAGATCCAACCGTCAAATAAGACTCTCATTGACCATCGAATTCATAATATATTTATAAATAGCCACCGAATTTGAAATCAAGCTAGACGTTCGTTACCTGGCTCCTCTTCACTTAAAACACAGAATGGAAACACATCAAGGAGAGAAAAACACAAAGAAGCAAGAGAAAGGAAGGGGGGAGAATGCGTATAGGGGAATTCGCAGGCGACCTTGGGGTAAGTTTGCTGCCGAGATACGTGACCCGACAAAGAATGGGGGACGTCGTTGGCTAGGAACATATGACACGGCGGAGGAGGCGGCTCGGGCGTATGACCGAGCTGCTTTTGCCTTCCGGGGTCATTTAGCCATTCTCAATTTCCCGAATGAATACCAACATCAGGATCCAAGCTCTGCCATGTCATTTGCTTCTTCATCTTCTTTCTCCACTGCCAATCCTGTGAACGATGGCCATGAAGTTTCCTCTACTGGCGGACAAGAAGTTATAGAGTTCGAGTATTTGGATAACAAATTGTTGGAGGAGCTGCTGGGAACGAATGATCCCAGCAGGCAGCATTAGGCCAATTGATGAATATGGATTGTCACTTTGTCATGTCACCCTTCAATGCAATTCTTTTATTTTGTCCATTGTTTGAATCTAAAATGGAAGAAAACAAATTTCAATTGTTTTTTTCTCTGTCGTTTGTAACAAAATTACGTTCCATATCAAGTTATAATCAACCTTCTCCCCCACCACCCAGAAGAATAAGACGAGCAAAAGAAATGGCCTGAAACCAGGGATTTAGAGGAACATTGTCTAATCAGCCATCTTCTTTCCTTTCCGTTAATTTGATCTTATAAATGCTATTAGTTTCTGTTCATGCAATGTTTTCACATGTAGATGGGGTGCTGTACTACTATTCAGCGGCTTTTCCCTTCTTGCACATTTTTTGTGTTTTTCTTTTTATGTATTAATTGATTATATCGTTTATCATTCTTTTTTTTTTACTCATAATTCATTTATAGGACTAAAAAAATTTAAGGATGCGAGTTGATTCTTAGTCAAATAATAATAATAAAAAATTATAACAATAATTATTTTCATTTTAGATAACATCTCATTTTGTCCACTTCTAAATATATAGGTGTTTTTAATAGTCACTTCACATCTTTATATAATTTGTATTTGACAAATAAAAAATTTAAATAATCAAATCACATATATAAAATTTTATTTAAATTAAAAAAATAGCATGCCTTAAAAAAAACAAATTATAGTTTCATTCAATTTCATCTACTTCCACTAAAATTAAACATATCTCTACCTTTATTTTGCTTAGTTTATCTCTACCTTTATTTTAGTTTCATTCAATTTCATCTACTTTCACTAAAATTAAATATATCTCTAACTTTATTTTGCTTAGTTAAAACCTTTAATTATTTTTTAAAAAGATGGTAATTTTAAGTATAAATCAACAACAAAGTTCATTAATAAAATCCATTATTATTTAATGATGTTTTTTGTTGTATGTATGCAGTGTCATGGTGATCATCTTCTCGGATAAAAATGGTTGAGAATGATGAAGATAAGAAATTTTTGTTCTTTATCAATAATAATAAAAAAAAAAGAATAAGAGTTGCCCTATAATATTTTAATAAATAAAAACTCTAACTGGTTTTAAAATTAAAAAAAGAGAACTAATTGTATAAAAAAAAAGTATTAGCACCTATAATATATCTTAGATGAAGTAAGTTGCATTGTTTATTTTTCTAATATAAACTAATAAAAAGTTGTGTTTTCTAACTGTTGATCTATCTAAAATTTAAGAAAAGTTATTTTTGATAAGAAGGTTTTTATCTTATTAGATAAAAACATAACTGTTCTAATAACAAAAAAAAATTATCTTTTTATTTAATATCAAGAAAACATCTTACATATAAGTTCATAATCTCGTTTATTAAAAACAACAAAATAAAATTGTTTGATATTTTTTAAATTGAGGGCAAAATCCTTGGAAATTTACAAAATTGTTATAAAATCAATGCAATACTTTAAAAAAAAAAAACATGTCAAAGTATTTTAGATTTTTTTAAAAAAAATACTTAAATAACTTTAGGATTTTTGGCCATATACAAGAAAGAAAAAAGAAAATATTTATTTTTTATTTTTTAGGCCTTGTTTGGCAAAAATTCTTTTTGTTTTTCTTTGTAATGAAACTATCAAAAATAGTCTTAAAAGGTGTTTGCCAAACATACCCTTCAACCCAAAACTCTTTAACAAAAATTATACCAAGCCAAATAGGGTATTAAGCCTTTTGACCCGTCTATTTTTTACCTAACTCAACTAGGTTAATTTAAAAAAATTTATCCGATCATAAACCGAACCAAAATTCTAGTTTGACTCGAAAAAAATCCAAAAACAAAATTAAAACTAAAAAATTCTTGAACAAAACAGATCAAAAAAATAAATAACAAAGAACGTGAAGAACACTAACACAAGATTGCTCATAGTCCATGACAACAAACCATTCTTTCCAAGCTTTGATCCAAATTATCCCAACAAGCTTAATAATCTTCTGAATTTTTTATGAGTACAAAATAATAATAAAAAATTTTCTTATGCTCTCTCTCTCTCTCTCTCTCTCTCTCTCTATATATATATATATATATATATATATATATATATGAAGAGCACATAAATAATTATTAAGTTTTGATGAATGAGATGGTCGAGAAAATTTCTCCGTGCAAAAAGGATTTCAATTCTTTTGAATTTTCTTGGTTGGATGTGCACATAACAACTGTGTTTCAAATTGAACCAGAGCTGGTCATAGCAAAGGTACATACATATTAAAAATTATTTAAGTATCAATAATTTAATATTTAATCACTTTAATTATCACTAAAATATCATGATTTTATTAAAATGGGTTTCAATTCTAAACTAAAATCCTACGATTAAAAGCCATTGAAATTGTATTATTGATACAAATAAACACTATATTATTAGTTAATCATGCATGAGAAAGGGTTCTAGGAAAATAAATGAAACAAAACAAGTCAAAATCATGTAACTAAGATAATGTTCTTGGGAAAAACATGAAGAACAAATGAAAAATATGCAACATGAATCCAACAACTTGGCTCGCAAACATGACCAAATATAGGCAAACCGAAGGCATATACATGGTGGAAATCATACAATGATCAATAATCTAATGTTCATTCACTTTGATTATTAATGAATCATCACGATTTGGTCAAAATAGATTTTGGTTCAAAACCAAAACTATGGAATTAAAAACCATTTAAACACATTATTATTGTGAATAATTTTAAATTTTTTAATTTTATATATTTGATCTTCCTCAAAATTCATTGACAGTTTCTTAGGGATCTAATATACTTTTCTTACTTATATATATTTTTTTATTTTCTTCCAATATTTTTTCTTTTTTTTCTCTGATTTTTATTTATTTATTTATATAGGGCCCTAAAATGAGTAACAACATTTTTTTTTCATTTTCTTTTATCTCATGCAAGGATGTCCACGGGTGAAAAAATTAACTATCAACTAATGAATTAGAAAACACTCAACTAATACATTATTAAAAGTTAAGACAGTAGAATATAAATTGTTAAAATAAAAACACTTAAATAAATAAAAATAGAAGTACAAGCACTCAATTAGAAACAAACTTAAAACTTCATGCACGTATGATATACATGTTATCATGATGTGAGTCAATCCAATGTCCATGCCATAATAAAGGCTATGTTTGTTTACTTGTAGCTTTTATAACTGAGTTTTGTATTTATAATTAAGTTTCATAAAATTCTATTTATTTTTGTATTTTAAAAGTATTTTTAAAAAATATAATTTTTTTACTTCAAATTAATATTTTTTTTGTGTTTTCATATTATTTTGATGCGTTGATATTAAAAATAATTTTTTAAAATAAAAAATTATTTTGAAGTATTTCCAAGTAAAAAACACTTTGAAAATCAATCGTAACTATACAATTATCAAACATTTTATACATGTTTTTTACTGCACATAAACCTCAATCATAATTTTTACTAAATATATATCTAAATTCAACTAACCACACCTAAACCATACTTTTTAAAAACTTATTTTTGTTCATATCACAACCACAAAAACTAGCTTAAAAACAAATAAATTTAAAATTGATGTAATCTAATAGAAATACTTGATTAGAAAAATATTTAAAAATCCACATACTTCAATAACAAAAACAAAAACACTCAAATAAAAAAAATGAAAATGTAATATTAAAAATGTTATTAACTCCATTATCTGGGTTGGGTTGGCCATGATGGCCAAATCCTGGATCCAAAACACACAGGAACATGTAGCAATAAATCAATGTCTTTTATAATGGTGTGGAATGATACAAAAGGATCGATCAATACATCTAATTCCAACTACTTTAAGAGTAAGGCTACATCGTTGTTGTTGTTAGCAATGTCACATGATTACGTTTGGCTGCTTGGTCATCATTTTTATGTTGCGAACATATTTATGATATTATTATGATAATCTGAAGACCAGATGATTCCACGAGGTCCCGATCTACTTTATAAATAACATTCCATATTGACTATATTTTTTTGCACGAGGTTGGAGCTGGAGCACTAGGTTCTTTAAACAACAGAACCTGTGATATACCATATGGAAGGCGAGACACACAGAGTAGCTGTGATATACCATATACCGTTGGTGTTTAAGTAATTAATTTTTTAGCCTAAATGTAAATGTAAATGACATATAATTTATTGGACTTTAGCTCAGCAACATTAGGTACATGCAATTAACATCAGTCTTGCAAGTTGCATCAAAAGCTTTTTTAAACATCTTTGGCTAGTGCCACGACAAGCGGCTAAAATTTTGGCTTTAAAGCAAGGCGTTTATGCATTGGTAAGTCCACTGCTAGCTAGTGATGATAGAGTATAGTAATCACGATGATGATGGTGGGATTGTCCAATGGAATAGCGAGGGGAAAGAAATCTCAGGATTATTTTAGTTAGCCCTAAACTTTCTTTGGACTTCAACGCATAATGTTTAGGTAGCTAGCCTTTCATCTTCGTGGTCCCAAAAGAATATCTTATCTTATGATTTTAATCAAGGTAGGGTTGGAGGAGCAGGATTTGAAGGGTGAATATATTTTTCTCTTGAATTGCTATAGGCAAACCCATTGTGTTTAATGGTACAGCTTTTGTAATTTGGGATTTTTTTTATAATAATCAAAGTGTAGTAATAAAAAAAAATAATTATTCAGAAGATGATCCCGAAAAGTGATTTGTGATTGACATGGAATTTGCGGACAGGGATCTAAAGTGATGGTTGCAGTGTTTTAACTTGAACATATTTGATTATTATTTTTTAAAATCTTCCATAATAATTTGATATGATTATATTTAATAGATTTTGTTTTACATTTCATGACTGCAAAACTGTTGGCAATTATTCAGTGACATTGGTTTTGGTTTTTTTTTTCCTTTTAATAAATCATAACCAAATGATTATTAAATAATATAAATGATGGGATGAAGGACAACATGGGTATTGTAAACCCCGGGAAAAAATAAAAATAAAATAATTAAATAAAAAAAAAATTAATGCATATGGTTAAATAAAAACAGAAATTTTTTAATATAAATTTCCGAGTGAAATAATTCGAGACATTATAGTAAACTTGGTATTGTTGAGGGTTGGATTTCATTGAATAGAATAATACACTTAAAAAAAAATGGAGGGGCCTAAATGCAAATAGGAGAAAAATCACGCACCTACTTCACATGTCTCGTGACCTCCCCTAATAGAAAATCCAATCCTGATTGCTTCTCCTCAATCATAAAAAAGGTTTTTATTATGATTCCTTCAAAACGATATTATAGAGAATCCATATTCATCCATTACTTATATGTTATTTTCTATATATGTTCATTTTCTCATAATAACATACATACATACTACATATAACTCGTATATTTTCAAAGTTAATATCTTAATATACAAGTGTTCATATGACTTAATTCTTCTATATTCTTATATATAGTATTCACATGAAAGTCTATTATTATTGTTTAACTTTGAACTATTATTATTTAATTTTCAATTGTTACTGTCTAATTTTGAATTGTTACTGTTTAATTTTTAAATATTACTGTTCAACCATTACTGTCTAATTTTAAACTATTATTGTCTAATTTTCAACTGTTACTATCCAAACACTCACTAGATTTTTAACTATATCTAAAGTTTTAAAACTTCATTTTAAATGAAATTGATATTGTTAGAAAGTTATGACACGAGATTATAAGTTCTCTTAAGGGAAGAGAATCCAGTTTTGCTTTCAAAATAGTTAAAATTACATATTAACTAATTAGTCTTATTGTCCCACATAATCAGTCATTACATCTTTAAATTTAACAAGACCAGTTTTTCTGCTTAACTAACATTCAAATTTACAATTTATAAGAGGAATCTAATTCTAATTTTCTCATCCTCCTCCCCAAAATCTCATCGAAAGTCAGAAGATAAGTTTGTTCAGATTTGTCTCTCCCTTTTCTTCACACAATACTTTCATAAACTACATACCACACACATGAATTAACTTAATCTTAATATTTTTTTTCATTCTTATGCCATGAAATCCAATTCTATCAATAAAAGTTAGAAAAGGTAATCTTTTCTTGACTAGGTAAGATTTCTTATGTTTAATTCAGTTAAAAAGGATTATAACTGTTAGTTTAAAGTTTATACTATGAATTGTCAAATCTAATAGCTAAAGGCTACTTGAGATGGTCATTTTAGACCACCTCCGCGGCTTCTATTGTATCAATTAACTTAAACAGCTCACATGATCATTTTAGGAAACCTATGTAGTTTATGTTTTTGTTGGTTTTGTTATTTTTTCAATATTTTTAGATTGTATGTCATTTTCATACTTTCTATTAGTTCTTTTTATTTATTTAGGGATTATGAATTTTCTTCCTTGTTAAGGCCCGTCCATCTAAGATATATTTAAAGACTTGTAAAAATTTTAAGGAAAGCTAAAGAATTTATTTTTAAAAATCAAATTGAATTAAATTTCCGTACAATTTGAATTCAGTTCATGATTTATTACATTTCTTATATTTAAAATAAAATGCTAAACATGCAACTTAGAAAATATATTATCACTTAAACAAAACTTAATTCTTATTCTCTTAAGTAATTTCAGTGCGAGGGCATGCTCCATCGACCAAATAAAAATTAATCTTAAATTAGACTGCGAATAGTAAAATACTTACTGGGTTTTTTATTCAACGGTGCCCAAATTATTATTTATTTTATTGATACATGAGTGAAATATACTTCAAAAAAACAGGTAAAGAACAAAGATACATGCCCATCTCAGACTACATTTGTCTTTCTTGCACCAACAACTGGTCAAGCTCGAAGCTTCAGATGCTCCAATGCATCATCATCGCTGCCATTCCTGGTCATGTAGTTGCGAAGAAATTCTATGTACTGACAGGCTCTAAAGACTGGAGGATTGCTTGCGTTGATAAGAGCTTTCGCAGGCTCTATCATGATGTCATCACTAGGATTAAAAAAGAAGGCAGCACTTGTCCGAGCAGTCCTTGAATTTGTCACAGCTCGATGCTCAACACTTTTCAGCTTGTTGTTGCTCATAATCTATAACACAACACCAACTAAGATCTTTCAGAAAATATAATCCAGATAATTGCTTAATTGACTTCAAGTAACTCTTTACATCACTTTTTTTAATGATAAAAAACAGTAATTAAAACACTTTTATTATATATACGATCGAGGTGTACCTGCAACTGGTAGCCTATGTTAACCACGAATGCACTAGGAACAGGATCAACAGCAATCCATTCATTATCCTTGAAGATTTGAAGCCCACAAACATCATCTTGGAGTAAAATGGTTATGAGATTTGGATCACAGTGTTTAGATAATCCCAGGGCTAAACTTGGATCTGGGCATGGCGGGTAATGATTAACTGACAGTGACGTGACTTCACTTAGCTTACCCTCAAAATACCCGGACTCTAATCCTAGTCCTTGACAAATCAGCTCCAATATTCTTGGTGCCAACTTCGTCACTTCAGCTGCATAACTCCCAACGACCTGTCTGTGAAAGTTATGAAGGTAAATTAATATGGAAAAATTAGAATTAATTTCCTGCACGCAGTTGTCGGACGAAGATTAACGTTAATTGATATGCGGGATTAATTAATTTACCGGTATCTGGCTGGCTTTACGGGCCAGTCAAGAATGCATTTCTCTAGAGGATGGCAGTCGTGTTTTAAATTGTCACGCCATAAGTGAATATCTTCAGTGGCGTAAATTAAGCTACTCGGGTACAGTTTACAGTGCTTTTTTGATCTTGCGTCCTCGGTGTAGAATATTGCCTTGTCCTCCGCAGGCAGCTCAAAGAATTCCTTAAACATTCTCATAGTGTCTTTCATCAGATCTTCAGGAACTCCATGATTGACCACCTGTGATTTTATGATTGCAAATATATCATTACATTAATATTCAGGAGCTAGATTAACATTTTGAGGCATAATCAAAGATAAATTATTGTTTGTACTAACCTGAAAAAATCCAAACTCTTGGCTTGCCTTCAAAATCTTCTGTGAAATAACAGCTCTATTGTCACCCGCTGTTTCATCGAGATCTATTACGGGCAGGAACTTGCATGCAGAAACAGGGAGCTTCCCCGGTCGTTTTTCTGGTGGGAAAATATACTTCTCCGGCAACGACCTGATCTGAACTTGATTGTTGTTCGAGATGAGCTTCTCCATTAATTACAACGTGAATTTTTTTGCCGTAATACAACAACTATAAGTTTGATGATTTGTGGAGAAATAGCTTGGTGGTGCCTCTACGTTAAAGCATTGTGTGACTTATATAGGATCTTGTAGCTGGCGGCTAGCTTCTGTAGCAATGAAGGAAAAGAAAACACGACCGAATTATTTTATACACACACATGCTAGTTAATAACCTGTGTAACGTAACTACATGGTGGTGATGAGTTTGGAATTAAAAGATTTGTTGTTTTTATAATTTTGAGTTTAAATTATGTGGTTGTTTATATGATAATTGTTAAAAATTTATATAATTGTTAATTTAAAAGTTTATGGAATTAGTTAAGATATATAAAAACTGATTGGAATATCCACCTTAAATAAAAAAAAAATTATATACTATTTAGACAATTATGTACAAATATAATTTATATACTATTTAGACAATTATGTACAAACTAGAAAAAAGTGATTAAAAGTACTTGTGAAAGCATTTCGTAGAAATATACTGAAAAATTCAAGAATACAAGTTAGAAAAAGTGATTAAAAGTACTTGTGAAAGAATTTTGCAGAGAAACACTGAAAAATTGAAGAATACTCGCGGTACTTCCTGTTCAATTCACTAGTGAATGAAGCCAAATGTATTATTTAACAATTATCATTGAAAATGTTATGATTTAAGTGATTTAGAAAAATAAAAAAATATATATGAAAAATAAAAATAAAAATCATATGAATTTCAATATATATCATATTACACGTGATCATTTTATATATTTAAATAAATGAGATATGGAGTGGTGAATATTTTTAAAATACTAGAACATTTTTCTGTTTTCTGTCAAATTCAGTTAACACACATGTTTTCAAACATGTGACTAAGACTACTTTTATAAAAGAAAGAAAAAGAGAGAAAGACAGAGATAACTCTATGGGCGTATGATTAAGTCAACCGTTATTCCAATCCAAGTTTATTAACAGTCATATCTCATCCATTTAAACATGCCTAATCAAATTGCAATTATAGCAATTTAAAAATCAACACATGCAACAAATTAATTATAATTATTATTTTCTTTATGGGCGTCTCTATCAATTTTTTCTTGTTTAGAATAATTTAAAAAAAAAATCATAAAACTTAGGTGTAAAATCAACGATTTTTTGTGTTCAATTGCATTGAAATATATTTTAATTTGCATTTTACACTTGCTGAGGTCTAATATTGCACTATGATGACCTTGTCATAACACAGAAGTATTTATGGTATTCTAATATGTCCATAATTTTTTAAAAAAATATATATTTAAAATCAATTTTTTTATGTTTTTGAATTATTTTGAATAATAGATATAAAAAATAATTTTTTAAAATAAAAAAATATGTTAAAATAAAAAATACTTAAAAAAATATTATTATTATTATTTTAAACATCCATGCATTTCGTCTAGTGTTGAGAAAAAAAAGTAAAAAATAAAACTTAAATATTGAAAATTCATGTCAAGACCACCGGAAGTCATCACCAGTGCCAGTCTAAAACCACTGTTGGACACGCTACATCATCTGCTTCAGAATTCATTAAAAACAAAAAAGGCGTAAAACTCAATGCTATGAAAATAACAATGAATTGTCAGTTTTATTGGGATGTCAGACTTTCAAAGTTAGTGATAGTCCAATCAATTTTTATTATTTTACATAATAATATAAGTTTTATTTAATAATTTAAATTATTAAATTTAAATAATTTTTTAAAATAATATCAAAATTTTAATAATTAATCCGTTATGAATTTGAATCTTATTATTTTTATTTATTTAATAAAAATTAAATATAAAATAATATCATATAAGATTTCATGATATAATTTATATTATTTTATAACATATATTTTCGAATATGTGAATTCATATTTACTTAATTATTAAGATTTTGATGATACATTAAAAACTAAATTACATTTATATTATTTTTTAATATATATAATATATAATTCTTTCGTTCCGTATAAAAAACAGGTTTATAACTCTATATGCATGATCGCTTTTCTTCCCTATCGTAGGTTAGATTTCAGTGTCCTGGGAATGAAAACAGGAAATTAATGTTAAATATTGTGAAGACTTGTATATAATCGAAAGCTTTAATGGGCTTATCATGAACAAGCATGCAAGGAATTATGCATGCATGTTGCAGACACCAGCACAATCCATAAGCTCAAATCATTTTATTAATTTGTGTAGTTCTTTTCTTATTAATTTCATATTTACATATATATATATATATATATATATGTAAATATGAAATTAATAAGAAAAGAACTACACAAATTAATAAAATGATTTGAGCTTATGGATTGTGCTGGTGTGCTGGTGTCTGCAGCATGCATGCATAATTCCTTGCATGCTCGTTCATGATAAGCCCATTACAGCTTTCGATTATATACAGGTCTTCACAATATTTAACAGTAATTTCCTGTTTTCATTCCCAGGACAGTGCTGAAATGTAACAAAACGGCGATGCTTAGACAAAAGCAGAAGGTTTTACATTGAAGTCTACATTAAGTGGCTGCGGTATAACTGGAGGTGTGTCCTATCCAGAAGGCTGCTTTCAAGATAATGCGTTTAAATCCCTTGACGCATACCCTTTGACAGCAATTTTTTTTACCAAATTCTATCACATTTTCAATTCAAACAACAAAAACAGTAGAAACAATATATATTGTTGTGATATCACTATTATATGTAATTATTCTATTTTATTTATTATATTTTATTCAACAGAAAAAATATATATTTTCCAAAAAAGATAGTTTGCATTATTTAAAAAAATAAAACTAGAATTATCTTGAAACAACAGTATTTAACATCAGTTTGCAAGAAAATCATGTCAAATACAAACACCACAAATATTATAGATTGTGTTTCGATGAAGATCCTGCTTCAATAAATAATGACAATTAGGATCCAATAATTAAAAATATTTGATCCACCCCGATGAATTCCAAAAGAGATTATAATTTATAATGAGAAACCAATTAACTAAAATAAATAGCAAAATAAGCTTTCATCCTAGAGGTATAATGCCATTTGTATCCTATTAAGTTAATTAGCATGGTAAGGATAATTTTTTATTTGGGTTTAAGATAATAAATTTAAATTATATATGATTATATGAACAAACAGGTGAGAAAGAACTTTCATAGAATGGGATGATGTCTTTCAAGATTGCATCAATAGCTAAGTGGTTAGGCACCTTTGTAGATAACAAGTCTAAAAAAATGGTTATATATACTTTTATTTATTTATTTATATAATTTAAATATTAATCATTATCCAATTGAATTTATTATTACATGTAATTTTTTGTAGGAAGATTATAAAGTATAGATCTAATTAGAAAATTTATTATTCATTTAATGAAATAGTTTGGTATGTAGTTTCAAGAGGAGTTACAAAAAGTAACGGTAGTAGTACACTCGTGTATTAAAGTTTATAACTAATATGAGTTTTTCATCACATCTTTATTTTTATTTGGTAAAGTCATCATATCTTAATTCATTGTATTTTTATTTGGTAAAGTCATCATATCTTAATTCATTGTATTTTTATTTGGTAAAGTCATCATATCTTAATTCATTGTATTTAGTATTGCAAAAAAAAAAAAAAAATTAGTTTTTAAATGAAACAACAAATAGATTTTATAAAAGAATGTCTTATCAATAATCTTAAATATCATGATAAGATATCAAATATGAATCAAGATACCCCAACATCTATGGCCTCATCGATGCCATCAATTGTTGTCTCACTAATTGTATTTTTTATTGTATTATGATTTAATTTTATTAATATAAGTTTAAATGAATTTTCAAGTGTTTTTCAATTGTATTTTTATTCTACATATTGTTGATAAAGTATTATATATATATATATATATATATATATATATTCTCTACTGCTTTCAAAAATATCCATCAAGATTGATATTCAGGACGAATTTCCAAATGTTTTTTACTTCGGCAAACAAATGTAATAGTTTTTTTATAAAAGAAAAACATGTTGTTTGAGAGGCTGGAGCACTCATTAAAAGAAATTCTAGTGTGTGTAATAATGTATTTAAATTAAAAATGTATTAATTTGATGTTTTTTTAATTATTATTTTTATAATTTTAATATATTTATATCAAAACCATTTAAAACCACAAAAAAAAAATCAAAATAATACCTTTTCAATCCTATTATTTTTTAAAAATCACCTCCAAATATAGCTCATAAAAGTAATAAATTAAAACCATAATTATAATCTAGCTAGGTGTTCGTTGATGCACTTTGTGTTTATGTTTCTACATGTTTTTTAAATGATTTTGTTTTCCTTAAATAAATAGAACATTTTTCAAAACAATTTAATTGGGTGATCAATTTATCTAAGAACAGGATTCCGGATTGTAATTAGATCTCCTAAGTAACTTCTTAAACTAATCCAAATATAATTAATCATACATAAAGATGCCTGCCTCATGCATGCAGACCACGACAAAAGGTACTAGTAATTACGCCGCCAAGGAGATTGTCGCTTTTGCTGGTCAAATAATTATATTTTTGTCCGGCCACCTGCTTCAAAATTCATCAATAGAAAAGTAAAACAGAGACTAATCAATTGTGCTTGGGAGAACAATCAATGAGTCGAGGCATAAGTTTTTTGTTTTTTTAGACCTTTTATATGCTGTTTTTGTCAAGGAACTATCTTTTCTAAAATTTAAAGTTTTTAAATGAATCTTTATTTTATTTAAAAGTTTAAATTATTAGATAAGGTTTTAGGATATAATTTATATTATTTTTTAATATACTCCCTCAAATGAAAGCTTTTTAGGTTTAAAATTTGCATATGTTCATATTATTTTATACTTAATTTTTATCAAATAAACAGGGATAGTGAGATTCAAGCTCATGATCATTTGGTCATCAAGACTCTGATACCATGTCAAAAAACCATTTCATCTAAAAACTTAAGCTGCTAAATAAAACTCTAAAATATGATTTATATTATTTTCTAATTCGACTGATATTTTTGTACTTCTCCTTAATCTCTCCATGGAGATAAATTTCAAATCACCTTATGGAGTATAATATTTGTTTGTTTAAGCTATATATATATATATATATTTAAACTCGTTGCATCCAGAAGTTTGAGGATTAATTACGCTGTTTGCTGGGGTAAGATTTACTCGGAGCCACAAATATAAACATGTGGTAATGTATGGATCCCATTATTACCTGTGGCATAGCTATAAATCTACAAGAAGCAAAAGTCATGAATAGTAAAGCATGCTTCAATGTTAATGATTTTTTTCAATGGTCAGTGAAGCCATGTTTTACTATTTTTATCAAATTAGTTTGATTTGACACTAAAAATATATTGAATTAGATTTAATTTAAAAAAATAAAAAAAAATATTTTTATTTTTAATTGTGTTTTATTCAAAAAAAACTAGTGTTAAACATTATTTAATAACTACATAAATTAGATAAAGATTACTTGATGACGTTGCATTTACATAATTTGATCGTGATCTTAATTTTAATCCTAATTATATTTTACATGATGTTGGTATGTTCTTAAAAAAATTATGAAAATTATAGTTTTTATTGGATGTATTTCATACGTAATAAAATTATAGATAATTTAATGGAATAATAAAAAATATTTTATATAAAGTATTATTTATTTCATGATGTAATAGTAATAGTTAAATATATAATATTTAAATTAAAAATTATCAATATTAATATATATTTTTTAAAATTATTTTATAATCTCAATTTTAAAAACATTTTTAACCAAACACATTAAACTATTTTTTGTTCAACCTCAATTTTAATTACAGTTTTAATTAAATATCTATTTTTTAAACTAATTTCAATTAAAACTAATTTTTATAAAATAATTTTTTTTAAATAATAATCACAATAACGAACGTAATAAGGCACACACTTTTAAGTGAATGTGGGGGTGGAGGAGGCTAAGTTAATACATTGGCTAATTAACCGGTTGAGGAATTCCTTAATTGAATTCCAATGAGCAAATATGGATTAAAAGTGAAAAAAAAAGGGTGGAAAAGTAATAGGCAGACCCGTATATATATATAAAAAAAAAGGATAAAAAACTATTTAATTTATTTCCCAAAAAAAAAAACCTCCAGCTAGCTGCAATCTAAGAATCAGTGAGTTGTACTTCATTTCCTATTGTTTATGAAAATTATTTATCCAGTCCTTAGCCTTTTCCAGGAATAGTTCCTTAACTAGCATCGATCATCTTCAATTATGTAGTTTTTTTTTTTTTTTCAAGAATACCTTTTCTTTCTTCATTGACAGGGATAGTCATTGAATTGTTTCAAGAATTGTCTTTCATCTTGCTTCCTTCTCCTTTTTTTTTTTTTTTTTGATAACCATTGAAAAAATATTGAAAAGGCTGTAAAATCAATAGTTGAAGCAATATACTAGAACATGATTAAACAAAGAAAAAGACAAGACAAAGCAGGGGAAAAAAAAACTTAGAGAAGAAGAAAATACATGAACATGACAAAACAAAGAAATAGACAAAAAAAAACTTAAAGTATATTTGAAAGTGTGGTTGTGAGTATTTTGCAAAGTGTTTTTTATTTAAGAAAGTGTATCAATAATATTTTTTATTTTTTAAAAATTATTTTTGAAATTAATACATCAAAGTGATATGAAAATATCAAAAATATATTAATTTAAAGTAAAATAAATTCAAATATTTTTAAAAATATTTTTAAAACACAGTGCCAGAAAAATACTTAAAAAATACAAAAAACAAAGAAATCAATGTTGATCCGCTACAAAAAAATAAAAAAAAACTTAAAAAAGAGAAGTAAAACAAAAAATAATTAAGTAAGATTTCTTATTACAGGATTATTTAATGCCACCAGCAAATCTTAGAAAGTTATTTCTTAAATAAGTAAAATTTAAATCCAAAACATACAATTAGCAACCAAATATTAAACAATTAAAAAAGTTTATAATTCTTCTCTTAAAAATCCATTTATAATTCTCCTCTTAAAAATCCTCCAAAACACTATTGTTCCTCGACAGCTAAATATTAGTCTCCAAGTTAACCATTGGAACTTGCTCGGTATTGCTTAATTCTCCTGTATTCTTCTATTTATTAAAATAAGATTAATCTGAAAATAATATAAAATTGATGAAGGGCTTGATTTACATATTAGTTTTAAAATACAAGGATTAAACATACGAGTTTTGGAATCATGAGGACTACTTAATTAATTAGCCAATCTTTTGTTCGGGTGGTGTCACGAAACGACTCCGTAATAATCGTGAAACGATGTACAGCCCAGCCCAAACCCAGTAAGGATAGACATTACACAGAGCCAACCCACGTCCCATTGTGGCCTATCGCATCATCATCATCATCATCATCAAGATCTTCAAGGTGAAAATTTTATACTGCAGTAACCACGTATAATCCCCTCCGTCTCCATTGCAACCCTTGCTCAGCAAGCATCATTCCATGAGCTATTGCCTCAGCAAAGCTTCATAAAATTCACAATGTAGTGCAGACTCTGGAATAAAACAATTTCACATCATGGCCAGATGAAACTCCAGAGTGTGCCTTTGCCATAGAGATGAACACTAATGCTCGAGTCCCGCCATGTTTCTCTGTCTGCTGGACAACACCCTTCAAAGTATTAATAGCCTCATCATACTTGCCCAATGCAATCTGCATATTAGCAGCATCAATCTCAGCATGAAGCAATTCTGATCTAAGACCCCAACTCTTCAAAACCTTCTGTGACAGCACATTCTGCTCCAATGCCTTGTCATGTTCCTCCAGCCCACTATCTATGACCCCGAGAAGCTTCCTATCATATGCAACCTCCACAGAATAATCCCCAAGTCCACTCTTATGTATATCCAATGCCTTCAAACCAAACGGCAAAGCCTCATTGAAATTCAAAACTGCAACATAAGCCTCTGCCAGTTCCCTATTTGCCACACCCAATTCTTTACTGCCTTTATCCATAGTCATTTGCTTGATCTCTAAACACTTCTTAAGATTATCTATGGCCTCCTCTCTCCTCCCCATCGCAGTCTTCACATTTGATAACTCAAGCAGCACAGCATGCAACACTGGCCTAATATCCTCAACGTTAGTAGTCCCCTCCTCCTCCAGCCTACCCAGTATCCTCTGTGCCCTATTTAAATACCCTAAACTATCATTAAACCTTTTTAAACTATAACTAACAGAACCCATTAATTGTAAAGTCATAGCAACAAGAAAACTAGGCTTATCATCACCAATATCAAGAACTTTCAAAGCTCTAGTAGCAAAAGTTAAAGCCTTTTCAGTGTCCTCACCTTGTTGGTCATTTGTAAAAAAATTACGTTCCATATAAAGTTATAATCAACCTTCTCCCCCACCACCCAGAAGAATAAGACGAGCAAAAGAAATGGCCTGAAACCAGGGATTTAGAGGAACATTGTCTAATTAGCATCTTCTTTCCTTTTCGTTAATTTGATCTTATATATGCTGTCATAACCAAATTTTTTATTTTTTTTATTTATTTACTAAAAAAATTTGATAAAAAAAATAAATAAAGAATGAATTAAAATTTGAGTTAATGAAAACATGATTGGAAAATTTAAATATTTAATTAAACTCTTGACTAGTTTAATTAATTAAATCAATTTTAATTGGAGAATTAATAAATTTTAAGATTTAATTGAGAATTAAGTTAATTAATCAAATTAAAAGAATTGAGGAATTAATGAGTTTGAGGACTTAATTAAACTTTGACTTAATTAATTAAAAGAATCAGGGATTTAATTGAAGAAATACCAAAGTTTGGGGGTTATTCAGAACATTGCTGGAAAATTAAAATCCAAGGACTAACTTGAATAGTTTAGAAATTCAGGACTGTTGTGTAAACAACGTATCAATTTAGGGATCTAATTGAAATTAACCCATAAAGGGCAAAAATTAAAAGAAATTTTAATTGAATTAAGATCCCAATTGTTAAGTTTAAAACGTTCAGGGACCAAAGTGAAAAATAGCCTAAGGATACAAACGGCGTCGTTTGGAAGCCTTGTTCTGCATCCCTTCCATTTCGCGCGGAGAGTACCGGTTCAACAGGAAATTTGCAGTAGTCGTGGACCACGTCTCTTTCCCATGATCTTATCCACGATTTGAATAAGAGTCCTGCAAAGATTGGACTGAGAAATGGAGGAGCTTTGGGAGCTCTATAAAAGGAAGAAAAACTAAAAAACGAGGGGGAAGAACACTGAAAACTAGAGAAGAAAACAAGGGGTAATCAGAGAATAAAAACAGAGCATAAACAAAAAAAATACATGGAGAGAAGGAGAGAATGAGGGAGTTGCAGATACAAAGAGGAGAATTATCCCTGCAATTGTCTTAGTCCCTGCAGAAAAAGAGCAACCCGGAATCAGTAAAAAAATTCAGAGAAAACAGACACACCCATTACCTTCTCAGCTTCTTCATCTCAAGAACTGAGGGAGGCAGAGAACGAAACAGGGGAGAACGAACAGGTAAGTTCATCTTTTCCCATTCTGCAATTTAATTCATTGGACACTGTTGTTGTAAAGTTAATTATCCCTTCACTGAGCACGCACGCGTTGTGCGTGCCCTTGCTTGTGTTAGTAATCAAGCTGGGTTGGTCGATCCGGCCCAGCACAAAAATAAAAAAAATAAAAAATAAAAAGTAGAAAAATAAAAATAAAAATATGCATGCAAAAAAAAACTAAAGTAAATTTATTGGTTTATTCACTGACGCCAGAGTCGGGAATAAAATAATGATGTAAATTTATTTTATTTTATTATATTTTACTTTTATTTAGTTACATAAAAAATATGTGCATGCATAAAAATAAATTTATTTGATTTGTTTATTCACTGATGCTAGAGTTAGGAATAAAAAAATATTGATTTAAATTTATTTTGTTTCTATAGCTGCGTTCCTATTTACCAATGCCAGAGTTGGAAATATCCGTAGTTAAATATTCACTGGCGCTAGAGTCAGGGATATTATAAACAAATTATCATAGTGCAAACTAATAAACATTTAGCAATTTAAGACAAAACTAGCAATGCAACCTGCCTCAGGCAGGACATTTAAGGGGTGATAATATATTCCTTTTTAAATAACCAATCCCGAACCATAGAATCTTTGTTGACCAGTTAGGATTCCTAGTGACTATAATACTAGGTGGTGACTCTTTAAACAAGACAATTCCCCATCAAAGAATAGGATGCCAGAAATCCATTCTTTCCATTCCATTTAGATTTTTAAGGTCACCGCAATGTCGGGTGCAACATATGCTATTAGTTTCTGTTCATGCAATGAATTCACATGTAGATGGGGTGTTGTATTACTATTCAGCGGCTTTTCCACGTTTTCCACATTTTTTTATGTTTTTCTTTTTATGTATTAATTGATTATATTGTTTCTCATCATATTTTTTTACTCATAATTCATTTATAGGACTAAAAAAATTAAGGATGCGAGTGGATTCTTAGTCAAATAATAATAAAAAACTTTATAACAATAATCATTTTTATAAATTATAATAATAATCATTTTCATTTTAGATAACATTTCATATTATCCACTTCTAAATAGATGTTTTTAATAGTCACTTCACATCTTTATATAGCATGCCTTAAACAAAAGAAAAAAACAAATTTTAGTTTAATTCAATTTCATCAACTTTCACTAAAATTAAACATATCTCTACCTTTATTTTTCTTAGTTAAAAACTTTAATTATTTTAAAACAAATTACAATTTTAAGTATAAATCAACAACAAAGTTCATTAATAAAAATCCATTGCTATTTAGTGGTGTTTTTTGTTGCATGTATGTAGTGTCATAGTGATCATCTTCCCGGATAAAGATAGTTGAGAATGATGTGGATGAAAAAGATAAGGAATTTTTATCCTTTATCAATAGAAAAAAGAGAATAGGAGTTGTAATCTAGTATTTTTGTAACTAAAAACCTTAACTGGTTGTAAAATCTAAGAAAGATGATTGATTGTATAAAAAAAAGTATTAACACCCATAATATATCTTACCTGAGTTAAGTTGCATTGTTTATTTGTCTAATATAAACTATTAAAAGGTTGTATTTCTAACTATTGATCTATCTAAAGTTTAAGAAAAGTCATCCTTGATTAGAAGGTTTTTTTATCTTATTAGATTAAAAAAATAATCGTTCTAATGACAAAAAATATATATATCTTTTTTATTTAATATCAAGAAAATATCTTACGTATAAGTTCATAATCTTGTGTATTAAAAGTAACAAAATAAAAATTTTTGATATATTTTTAAATTGAGGCAAAAATCCTTTGAAAATTTACAAATTTGTTATAAAATTAATGCAATATTAAAAAAAAAACATGTCAAAGTTATTTAAAAAAAATGCTTAAATCACTTTAGGACTTTTAGCCATATATAAGAAAGAAAAAAGAAAATATTTATTTTTTTATTTTTTATGCCTTGTTTGGCAAAAACTCTTTTTTTTTTTCTTTGGAATGAAACTACCAAAAATAGGCTTAAAGGGTGTTTGTCAAACATATCCTTCAACCCAAACCTCTTTAACAAAAATTATGTCAAGCCAAATAGGGTATTAAGCCTTTTGACCCTTTTATTTTTCACTTGTCCTAAATAGGTTGACCTGAAATTTTTTATTTGATCATAAATTGAAATAAAATTCTAGTTTGACTAAAAACAAAATACAAAAACAAAATTAAGATAAAAAAACTCAAAAATTCTTGAACAAAATGGATCAAATATAAAAAAATTAAAGAACATGAAGAATACCAACACAAGATTGCTCATAGTCCATGACAACAAATCATATTTTCCATGCTTTAGTCCAGATTATCCCAAGAATCTTCTGAATTTTTTATGAGTATAAAATAATAATAAAAAATTCTCTCTCTCTTTATATATATATATGAAGAGCACATAAAAAATTATTAAGTATTGATGAATGAGATGATCAAGGAAATTTCTATCTGCAAGAATGGATTTCAATTTATTTGAATTTTCCTGCCTAGATATGCACACAACAATGTGTGTTCTAAATTGAACCATATTTGGTCATAGTAAAGGTACATACATATTAAAAATCATTAAAGTATCAATAATTTAGTATTTAATCACTTTGATTATCACTAAAATATCATGATTTTATTAAAATAGGTTTCAATTCTAAACTAAAATCTTAAGATTAAAAGCCATTAAAATTAAGTTATTGGTGTAAATAAATACTAGACTATTAATTAATCATGCATAAAAAGGGTTCTGGAAAAATAAATGAAATAAAACAAGTCAAAATTATGTAAATAATTCTTAACAAGTGTTTAAAGTATTTGTTAACCAATTCATGTAAGAAAAAACTTTGGAACTCATGTTGTATTAACTACGCCATGTCCTTTAACATAAATGGTTATTAAGTAATGCCTCACCCCACCTAAAAAAAAAAAAGCTTATAATTTCTTTAGGCGGGAAAGTAGTTCTTTCCTTTCATATGAATACATTAGTTTGGAATTTGATTGCAAGATTCACTCTGATTTCCTGGTATTTTCTTTCTTAAAATCAAGAAGATCCTTCAGTAACTTGTCATCCAAATACTGAATCTCAAAAACTATTTTGTCTTGTTCTGTCCCACTGCTTTCGACATTTTATGGCGTTGAAGAAGATGATGAGGATGATAATAACAATGGTGATAACGATGAGGAAGAGGAAGTTATATCAGAATCAACCTTAGTTTCAGGATATTCCCGAGGAAAGTTAAGAATTGCTAAACGGCCCCTCATTGAATATGCAACCCTATCACAAGCCCTTGCAGCCTTTTCTACTGTGCTAAAAATCCCTAGCCTTAACCTTGCTCCACGCCTTGTCGAGTCACGTATCTCTGTTATAAATTTCCCCTGCAGCCGCCTCCTAATGCCTCTGTATCTAACTTCTTCTCCTTGCTAATTGACCTTTCCTACATTAGGATCATCCATCGTTGTCTAGATAGTTGAATGACTATGCAAGTGCTAGCTTTGACTTTTAGTGTTTATATTGAGTGACAAATGCACTTTACCAATTCTAATAAAATAAATTATTAATAAATAGTCCACATATGTGAACTTATTCAACTATTAAAGATATGACGGGGATAGATTTTAGCAGTTCAATGTATATGGGTGATGAAGCTTGTTGCATGTCACTCGCGCATCATTGGTTGGTAATATTTTTATTTTTTTTGCTTGATTTGAGATCTTTCATCTAGTATTTAATTGAGGGTATATTAGTCTTGTCAGGTAAGTAGGAAAGATATTAGAATAGCGCACCATACTTAGGTAAACTACTTTATAATTTGA